GATTCTGCTAGTTCTATTAACAGACAGATAAGGGGTGTCTGGCATCAGGTAACAGTTGTGTATTGTATAAACTGAAGGAAGGAGGGGGGAAAGGTCACTGTGGCTATGCCTTCTTATGACAAAATGGCATGGGAGACTTATGACGTGAACAAAATGGCTGCTACTCACACAAATATTCGGGTGCCAGGTACACACGACCGCACTGGTGGCATCCAAGTCCCAGCAGACATGCTAACAGTAAAGTAAAGGTGAATGTTATTGATGACACTATTTTCACAGAACAGGAAGGCATCCATGTGAAAGGGATTTAAAAAACAAGTACAGGATTTTTTACAAAAAGCCTCTCAATGTGATCTGCAGTCCTGTAAAAATCGAATGCTAAACTGCCCATGCACCAATGTCCCTTAGACTTGAATGTGATGTACCCGTAATACAGCAGCACTGTCCCATTCAGGTCTATGAGATATTTAGTGTGCAGTCGTGGGTTTGTGGGGAGGTGCAACGTGGTAAAGACAGTTGCAGATAAAATCAGAACTTTTATTTCAGAAAAATGTCAACTACAAACAACTCCAACAAGAGTGCCGCTTAGGGTACATTCACAGTTCAGTTCTTGGAAGAGAGGTAGTGGGTAAAGATGCACTGATATCGTCTGTCTTCAGAGGGTGGGATGCACAATGGCCAGTCCAGTCCCAAAAGGGAGGCTACTGTGCAGGACTGCGAGTCCTTACCCTTTCTCTACTCATCTGGAACCTTTCCCTGCTGCTATCACTTTCCCTGACAGGCACCATTTCCCTATTCAGCCACTTCGCAAAAATGTGTGCCAAAACCTTGGGGCAGGGACTTAAATAGTTGGAAACAGTGCTGCCTTCAGGACCTGGGGAACCACAGAGAAACCATGTTTCTCCTGACTTCCTCTCCAGGCTGCTGTACCGCTCTGGTCGAATGCTACCTGCAGCGGAGAAGGCAGACTGCACCTGCCTACACTCCCCCCCTTTTGACAGATGCTGCCCTCAGCATCACAAAAGATTAAAAACAACAGCAATAAAAGTACAATAAGAGCATGGTCGAGGCAGAACAATAAAATAAATTCAAACAACATAGTAAGATAGTTGCCCACGGTTAGATCGTAATCGGTGACAACTCTCTTGCCTTTCAGCTAAGTCACTTGGCAAAGGTTGATCTTTGGGTAGTGGCTCGGGGGTCAGAAGCGACAAGGGGTCACACGTACTGTATCTTACGCTTCCCCCCTCACCTGGGCCAAAAGTAGAATCCTTGGACATATCAGTACAGTCTGTGGTAATGAATGGGGTTTTTGGGTCTCCTGGGCTCCGGACACTAAAGTCTTTGGTCCCTGATTTATTGGAGGTCAGAGACTCAAGCACGAGGGCTGCAGGAACCAGTCAGTGGGGGCTGGAAGTTCTGCAGAGTCAAATGCCTCCTAATCATCAGCAGGCTTCTTGGAGCAGCCACCCCCCAGCACACAAGGTCTCAACATACTTTCAGTGTAATCACTTCTTCACTGGGTTTAGCCTCTCTGAGACCAGGTCGTAGACAGGAGTAGGTGGGAAACACTTCTCCACCACCCGATATGGGGTGCGCTCCCACTTGGGCTCTAGTTTATCTCCTCTGGTGAGCTTGGTATTCTTTACTAACACCCGGTCCAGATGTTTCACATGCTCTTTGAATGTCCTGGAGTAGATGATAACATCTTCGAGGTAAACCACAGTCTTGAAACTGAAGTCTCCAGGACATCTTTCCATTAGTCTCTGAAAAGTGCTGGAGGCATTGCTCAGGCTGAAGGGCATACGATTAAATTCAAACAATCCCAGGGGTGTGATGAAGGTGCTCTTTTGCTGGTCCTGGTCTGGGACTTGCCAGTATCCAGTAGCCTGGTCCAGGGTGGAGAAGAACTTGGCTTGTCCAAGAGCCATTAAGTTTACTCAGCTCGAGGCAGGGGGTAGGCAACCTTATGTATTTAAGCATTGAGTTTACAGTAGTCCACACAGAACCGCAGGCTGCCATCCTTTCACAAGAGGACGACAGGAGTGGCCCAACGACTGTGGCTTTCCTGGATCACTCCACTCTGGAATTGCGGAGCAAATCCCTGACCTCTTGGCACAACGCTGGGGGAATGTGAGAGTACCACTCCCCGATGGGTGGTGTATCCCCTGTGTGGATTGAGTAGTCAATGGCTTCAGTGAATCTGTAATAATGTGAACTGGTGGCAGACACTAGCAGGTGTTTTTCCAGTAGCTGATGAAGCAGTCACTGTTGGGTAGAGAAAAGTCTTTGAAGGGAATGTCTAGCTGTTCCAGTAGTGACTTGTATTGGGTCTCATCCCTGGATGCCATTGCTGCCTGTAGAGAGGCACATACTGCTGGCACCCCTGGTTGGGCCTTGGAGACGCAGTGACGAGGTACCGCATACTGCATAATTCAGCAAAGGTAGTATGCCTGGGCATCAAGATTAGTGTTGTTCCAAGGTTGATGAGTTGCACTAAGATTCTTCCCTGGTGGACCCTAGGCAAGGTATGGCCAACCAGCCACTCTCCTGGCATCATGGGGTCCTTGTGGGGTTCCCCTGTAGCTTCTATTAGGCCCCTGACAGCGAGTGACCAGACCACCTTATGCAGGGGTGCAAAGTGTAGGTTTTTTTGAGGGGGATATGGACCACCCTTAATTGCTCCGGTTGTTTCTTGGTTGCTCTACGCTGGGCCTCATAGGCCCGGAGCACTCTGAGCCAAATCAGTTGAAAGCTGCAGCCTGCTGAATGTTCATATTTGACCAATAGGTGAGGTCCAGAACTTTCATACCAAACACAACGGGCACTTCCGGGTTAACTGGGCCATAGGTCACTACTATTCCTATCCGCTCCATTACCTGGTCCTTGACCAGGATAGGGAGGTTATTGGCTACTCTGAGGGACAGCCAGCAGTGGTTCAGTTGTTCTCATGTTCCAGATCTCTGCAAATAAAAAATTATATTCCATGACAGTGACCTCTGACCCGGTAGCATTTAGGCATGGGACTTTTTGCCCATTAACTAAGGTGGATACCAGTGAGCTTGGTGAGACCATGTCTTCTGGCTTAAAATGCCTGTCCCAGGGGTCACCCCTCTATGCCAGAAGTCACTAGTTTAACAACAGCCTAGAGGATGTTTTAACCCAGACTGCCCACAACTCTTGGATATACAGTTGTGCTTAAAAGTTTGCATACCCTGGCAGAAATTGTGAAATGTTGGCATTGATATTGAAAATATGACTGATCATGCCAAAAAATGCTCTTTTATTGAAGGATGATGATCATATGAAGCCATTTATTATCAAATAGTTGTTTGGCTCCTTTTTAAATCATAATGATAACAGAAATCACCCAAATGGCCCTGATCAAAAGTTTCCCTCCCCTGGAATGTTTGGCCTTGGTACAGACACACAAGGTGACACATGGGTTAAAATGCCAATTAGAGGTTAATGTCCCACATCTGTGGCTTTTTAAATTGAAATGTCAGTGTATAAATAGTCAATGAGTTTGTTAGCTCTTACATGGAAGCACTGACTAGGCTAGATACTGAGCCATGGGGATCAGAAAAGAACTGTCAAAAGTCCTGCGTAACAAGGTAATGGAACTTTATAAAGATGGAAAAGGACATAAAAGATATCCAAAGCCTTGAATATGCCAATCAGTACTGTTAAATCACCTATTAAGAAGTGGAAAGTTCGGGGATCTCTTGATACCAAGCCAAGGTCAGGTAGACTAAGAAAGATTGCAGCCATAACTGACAGAAGAATTGTCCGGGACTCAAAGAAAAACCCACAGGCAACCTCAAAAGATATACAGGCTGCTCTGGAAAAAGATGGTGTATTTGTTTATAAGGAGTACAATACGGTGATACTTGAACAAAAATGGGCTGTTTGGTCGAGGTGCCAGAAAGAAGCTTTTACTGTTTTTCATCCATTTACATCTGTTTTTGTCTGTTTACATCCGATTTTGTCCGTTCCATTTTTTTAGCGGAAGAAAAATTTAGTTTTCTTCCATTCAAAATAACAGATGTTAACGGGTTCGGACACTAACGGATGTAAACAGATGATCATCCGCTTACATCCACTACTCCATAGAGATACATGGGTGTCCATTTTTCATCTGTAAACGGACATACGGAACGCCCTTGTGAAAGAGGCCTTACTGGTTGGATCACCAAATGAAAATAGACGAAAGGCTTAATACTGCTTTCATTTTTCACCTGGTGATCCTATCAGTAACATACTTCTGTCCTAGGCTGACCACACTCACTTACCATCCTGTATTTATGGAGGAGCAATGTTGTCACCCCCTGAAAGCAGAAATGTCATGACTACAAAACACCTCCGCCTCCTCATCTCTATAACATAGTCATGTCCAAAACGGTTAGAATTTGGCTTTTTTAATGATTGTTTCTCTAGAGGAAAATTTATGTTGTCACCAGTACAGGAAGTACACAGAAACCATCTAATGGGCACACAGGAACAATATAACAATAAAAGGACGTTGTTGTCAGTGTAATGAGAAATAATTAGAATGTGTATTGCTATGGGGGGGATTCTTCTCACTTCCTGTTTAGTCCTCAAGCCAGGAGAGGCAGATAAAATAGCCAAAAAACATCTGGCCATGTCCTGTGAAATAAATCCACAGGGGATTTACTCCGAGGACGCCATTATATCGGGTGTCAGTGTGATTACAGATAATCTGCAGGGTCCTCCCACATTTTACAGCCGCACTCCTCAACCACCCACCCACGTGACACTCCCGGAGAGCGAACAAACAAAGAGGCGGTCCGGTTTAGAGCGGAGGGGTGGTCTTGGTAGAGAAAGGGGCGGTCCCGGAAGAGGAAGGAGCGGTGCGGTTCATAGCGGAGGGGCGGTCCCGGTAGAGAAAGGGGCGGTCTCGGTTGAGCTCGCTGTCACCTGGAAGTGCTTCGTGTTGCCAGGTAACAGCGGGTAGCGTCTCGGGCCGGTTCTCCGGAAAGATGGAGCAGTACAGCCTGTTGGGCCGGATCGGGGAGGGCGCTCACGGCATCGTCTTCAAAGCCAAACACATCGAGGTGAGCGGGGATAGGGAGTGCGGGATCATTGGGACCCGAGGGTGTCTGCTGAGCCCACTTCCAGGGACCTATATAGATAAGCTGAGCAGCGGCAGTAAATACTAAAATAAAATCAAATTTTAATTAAAAATAAAATACCGAAATAAAAATTCTGGGGCCGAAACTGAAAATTCAGGACGCACCGAAAACTGAAACCGAAATGGAAAGTTTTTTAAAAATATATTTTTTTCAAACGCATTAAAAAAAAAACACTTTAATGGTTGATTAATGGAGACCCACTCACCTGTGAAGCTGAGCCCTCTGCTAGGCCTTTTTCAGACATGCAGTAAGCCTATCACCCTCTGAACAGCAATCCACAATGGATCAGATGGCAGTATAACAGCTAGCAGACATTCAGGAGGCATTACTGCTGTCTCCTGATGCTTTTTTTTTTCCTGCCCGTGCCCGCAATTGCAGCCAAGTGCCTGGTTGGAGGGTGTTATGCGCTGCCAGTCATCTCCATGGGGGTGTTTGGTAGGCGGTGCCCCCTTTCATACTCCAGCATGCTATCCTGTGTCCATGCACTCATAGGCTTTAATGGATGTTTTTTGGCCGGGAAATGGGTTCTAGAGGAATTTTTTAGCTGTAAATACGCCTAAACGATGAAAAACACGCTAAAACGCAACTTTTTGGGTGTTTTTTTTGATCAAGCATTTTATTTACTTGTTCTGTGCTAAAAAAAGAAACGCAAATGCGGAAAAAAAACGCAGCTAAACGCTAATGCAAAAAAGCTAAAAACTTTTGGAAAACTCACATTTTTAACGCAACTTTACGCAGCTAACGCTACCAGCGTTATTAAAACGCCCCGTGTGCTGGGAGCCGCATTGTGACTTATAGTATTCGTTCTTTGGGTTGGTTCACACTATAGAAACCCAGTCCAGATGCGTTCCAGGTGCTTTTTTTTTTTGCGCGTTCCAGTGCGTTTTTTTTGTTTATGCATTTTTGACACATTCCAGTTCATTTTTGCCCCTCTCTTTTTCTTCAACTTAAATAGGGACATGTGTGTTTTGATGCAGTTTTTATTTATTTTTATTTATTTCAGGTACTTATATAGCGCTGTCAATTTACGCAGCACTTTACATTTATTTATACATTCACATCAGTCCCTAACCCTCAAGGGGTGTACAATCTAAGGTCCCTAACTCACATTCATACATACACATACTAAGGCCAATTTATACAAGAACCAATTAACCTGCCAGCATGTCTTTGGAGTGTGGGAGGAAACCGGAGTACCTGGAGGAAACACACGCAGGCACAGGGAGAACATGCAAACTCCAGGCAGGTGGTGCTGTGGTTGGGATTCGAACCAACAACCCTAGTACTGCCAGGTGGAAGTGCTAACCATTTATGCATTTTACTGCATTCCAGTACAGTTCTGTGCAGCATGTTCTCCTTTTTTTTCTGCATCCAGAACACACTGCAACTGCAAACACTGATGTGAACTATGACATTGACAACCATATAACCTACTTTCTGTGCGTTTTGGATGCAGAAAAGAAAGCAACTGAAACGCATGGAGTGTGAACTGGCCCTTTGAGTCAATGCTGTACAGCTGCATTCAATACATAGACCTGTATTGCTCCTCTTTCCTTGTACCTTTTGTTTAAAAATGTGAATAAAACCCCATTGTACATGAAGGACCTGCCTGAGCCATCCCGCTACTGCGGACCAACATTTCTAGGTGGCCAAGACACCCCCCCACCCTGTACACCTGTATATGTGTGGTTTGCAGGGCAGGGAATGCTTTGGCCATTTCTGATTGGCAGCATGCAATGCCAGCTTCATGGCAGAATAACTCAGGTGGGTTCACACTAGGACCCAACATGGGTGATCAGGTGACGGCTGCAGTGCATGTTCTTCAGAGTCTCTGCACTTCCAGATCAGAGGTTGAAGTGGAGCTCCAGTCGAAATTAACAAAAAAAAAGGTCAGCAGCTACAAAAACCGAAACTCACCGGTCACTCAATCCCGCCGTGTCCTCACACTGGCCGGGTTAACTGGCCATCCTGTGTCCCCGACAACGACATCTTCAGAGTGGGCACTCTGCTGTGACAGCTTGCGGCTTCACAGTCGGGTGCCCACTGCTCATGCACGAGTAGCGCTGAGCTTTGTGAATGGTCCTGTAGTCTTCTGGGACCTGTCACATGTATAAGAAGACTACGGAGCAGGTGCATGTCAAATTCGAGGACCCTCTCCCCCCCTGCTCCCCAAAAGTGCCAATCCTTAACGGAGCGGGGGGGCGAAGCCTTAAACCAGAAATTCCCCTTTTGGGTGGAGCTTCACTTTAATATAGGAAGCAATTGATAAAAAAAAAAAAAATGTAAGAAATTGTAAAGATATAAACTAAAAAAATAGTTGATACCTAGGTTTGCCTTGGGTTAGATGAACGATTTGATAAAAAAAAAAAAGACGAAGGTTTAGATCAGGGGTGTCAAACTAGCGGCCCTCCAGCTGTTGCGAAACTTCAATTCCCATCATTCTTCTGCCTTTGGGAGTCATGCTTGTAACTGTCAATCTTGCAATGCCTCATGGGACTTGTAGTTTGGCTGCAGCTGGAGGGCCACCAGTTTAACACCTGTGGTTTAGATCTTCTTTAAGGCCTAAGGTTCAGCTAATCCTCCTCCTCCCCTCTACTTGTTTACTTTTGGCAGGTTTTTATTTTTATGGAGTGGGTACCTATTTCTTGTAGGTACCCACTCCCATCATGTAGGCATTCCCAGCGGAAGTTCTCTCCCCCTCCCTCCCAGCCCAGTGTATGTAGCTGCTAACTTTTAATTTTTTTTTTCATATAACTGAAGATCCTCTTTATAGTGGTACTAAAATCAGGATGGCCATGTGTGATCCAGACTGTCATTACCATTAATGTGATTGTGAACCCCCACCTTGTTAAACAACCCATTCAGTTTAGTTCAAGTCTGATCATTGGAGGAGAGAAGACTGAGTTGTCAACACAGCCAGAAAACTGACCACACTTTGTTCTCCTGCCTAGTGTAGTCAGTTTTTGTATTTCAATTATTTTTATTAACTTTTTAAACATAGAAAGACTTGAGCAAAAGGCAAGCCCACGCAGGGGCTATCAATGGCACATAAAATACAAAGAAACAGTGCTATAACACCAATAGTGAATCAAATTGAGGGCAGATATATACCGCCTCACAAAAATCAGACAAAAGTGGAGAGGGAAAAAGAGTTGGGGAAGAAGAAGACGACAAGACCAGAAGCAGGGGCTCGAGAACTCATATACCGATCAGCAACATAAACCCAGACTAGCCAGGGGGAGCGTGGGAAAGGCATGCGTCAACCATGGCTCCCATTTTCAAAAATTTCTGTTGGGAGTCATTACGGATACTCAACATCTATTCATTGAGCATCAGAGCAGTCATACTCTCCCGCACTCCCTTAAGGGGGACAGATGTACTTTTCCAGGCCTGAGCAATTGATCTGGTTGCTGACAAGAACAAATAGGAAGCCAGCTTTTGCTCGTCAGCCAACATGCCCGGTATGGGGCAATGGAGTAAGGCATACCGGGCTTCCCGGCATATGGAGAGATGGAACAAGGTGTAAAGAAGGCCAAATACCCGAGACCAAACATAAATCAGTCCCGGGCACGATCACCATATATGGAAGACATCTCCATGATGACCACAACCCCGAAAGCAACGATCACTATAAGCAGGGTTCGCCTGGGCTATACAAGCCGGGACCCAATACCAACGAAACAGTACTTTGTATGCCGCCTCCAACGTGGCTGTATTAAATTAACATTTAGCTATAAATGAACCAGGCCTTATTCCAGTCCTCCAGATCCACGACTGCCTCCAAATTGTGCTCCCACTGATATGATAGAGAAGTACACGTTGGGCGCCTATTCAAGGATGCGTAGGGAGACGAGACCCAGGGCGACAGGACGCTGTTGGCAAAGCTGCTCAAAGGCAGATTTTTGATATTGGAAGGCGGAAGTGTCATGCAGGGAAGTCAGCCAATTACGCGATTTAAGATAACGGAAAAATTCTGCCTGAGGAACATGCTGTGATTCCCGAAGAGAGTTCCAGGTGGGGAAGGACCTAGAAGTCAGGAAGTGTCGCACTTGCAAATAACCGTTGGCCACCCACCAAGAAAATGTCCATGGTTGATCTAGACCCAGTGGGAAAAGAGGATTATTAGAAATTGGGAGCAAGGGTAGAAAGTGTGACATCAAACCACTGGAGTGACGTATCGAATCCCACACCTGCAGGCCATGGAGCAGAATTGGACTCAATGCCGTCGAGTGTAGAGCAGGGGGGGGAATCATAAAAGCGTCGACGTCGCAATAGAGGCAAAGTTAGGTAGTTCCAGGAGATCCCAAAAAGGGATATCAGAGGAAGCATGCAACATGGACAGTGGGGCAATCTGGTTCGCCTGGTAATACTTAGCCACATTAGGTACCCCAAAACCTCCCTCCAGTCTATGAACAAAAAGCGTATTTCTGCAGACTCTGGGGTGTCTGCGGCCCAGATAAATCGCATAATCCACACCTGAATCAACCGGCACTAGGAGAGTGCGGAAATAATATAACAATTTGGGCAGGATAGTCATTTTCACCGTGTTGACCCGCCCTATCCAGGACAGGTGTGGGAATTGCCAAGAGTGCATAAGAGAGGACACAGAGCGAAGCAATGGCTAATAGTTCGCTGCAAAGAAAGAGCCATAGGAGGGGGTCAGGTGAATGCCCACGTATTCAAGCGAAGAGGAAGCCCATTTGTAAAGGAAATGGGATTGTAGGCACAAAACCAAATCCTAGGCCAAAGTGATATTGAGAACAACAGTCATATCCAGAATAATAGAGACCCGATATCAAGGAGAACCATGCAAGAACCCGTTGCAGGTTTGGGAGCGTCGTCAATGGACTAATGAGAATCAATAAGGCACCGTCTGCAAAAAGATTCAACTTAATGTCCTGTCCCGCAAAAGGGACACCCGA